CATCATCATGTTCTCTTCAGCGCTGTCTGGGGCAGGTACTCAGTCCTCCCCTACAAGCCCCTTCGTGGGCCCAGAGAGCTGAAGGACACACTTCTTCCCTCCAACAGACTTCATGATTGGCTTCCAAACAGTCCAATCCCCAGAGACCACCTGCTGTGCAAAATCCAGGTGGGTCCCCAGACAAGTAAAAGAATGAACTCATCCAGACAGGCCCCGCATACACTCTCCTTCAGTCCCAGACAGGCTGGATTCTAGCTCTTCCTCTGGAGTATTTTTCCTTGTAGGTTCCTACAGGATACTAGATAGTGCTCAAGACAGAACAGCCGCCATGACCCCATACCCCTGTTCTCTCCCCGCCAACACACAATCTGGCCTGGGGGCGGGGGTATTTGGGAGCCAGCCCCCACAAACACCAAGTAACTGTTAGGTATTAATCACCACGTGCGCCTGAAAATTCAGGGAACTTTGCACTGATCTCCTGCCAGAACAGCAATAGGAACCACGTCTACAGAGCCGTGGTGGCTGGCGGCACTCATCCCGTTTCCCACACAGCTCCACTGAGCACCGAGCTCAGCACTCCAGTGTGCGTTTCTCAAATCATCTCAGCATGATTTTGATGTATATATTGTTTTTATGGTGTCTAAAAGCTTGTGAAGTGGCAGGTGGGGAGTTTAATTTGGACTTTTTTAACCTTAGAATCTGCTCTAATCCCTTAAGATACAAAAGAGATTCTTTTCATTTAAGCACAGATTACATACACACGCACACACACACACACACACACACACACACACGCGCGCGCGCGCGCGCGCGTGCACGCGCGCACACACCCAGCAGGCCCACAAGACGTTCTCTTTAAGCCTACAGGAGCTTCACTTTTGCTGTCACTGCCTCCTAACCACACATGGTCTCAGCCCAGTCTCTCCTTGCGCTGCACAACTCTGAACCAAAAGGAGGCAAAGCACACATTCAGCCTCTCCCTCAATTGTAAATCAGCAATACAGGCATGCTAAAAAAAAAAAAAAAAAAAAAAAAAAAATCTTGGCTAAAAGTTCCTTGGAATAAACCAGCCTCCCTGCGCTTGGTTGTCACTCAATCCCAATCCCATTTGCTTTGGTCTAAGAATGTATCCTCATTACTCAGGTCGCCATAGCTCGATATAAGAGAATAAAGGAAAAAAGGGTTTCCTCCAGTCAGAGTTCTGGTGTTTGCAGGGAAGGACTCCGGTGAGGATGTTGTAGAGGATGCCATTATTACAAGATCAAAGAAGTAGAGGGAGAGATGGGGAGAAAGAGGGACAGGAGGATGAGGATACAGGGGAGGAGAGGGGAGAAGAGAGGAGGGGAGAGGAGAAGAGGACAGAGGAGAAGGGAGAGGAGGAGAGGTAAGGGGGAGGGGAGGAGAGGGAAAAGAAGGTGAGGAGGAAAGAGGAGGGGAGGGGAAGGGAGGAAGGGGAAGGGAGAAGCCATCACAGCACACAAGTCAGCATCACAAGCCAGGAGCCCCGAGGAGAGAGAGGCCAGTCCCCCTGCTGCCCACTGGACAGCTTTAGGCTCTCATCACCTCTTCACAGCATCTCACTGAGGACCAGGCTTCCAACACATGAGCCCTGGGGGCACAATTGACCCCATGTCCCTCTCCCCAGGGAGCCTCTGTGTAGCTGGCTACCTACAGGGGCTGCTGTCCTTCACACCTCTCCCCTTCAGATGTTGAGAAGGATTCAGAACCTTTGTTGGCACTCCGATGCCTTGGCCAGGACAGCAGCCCTTCCCAACATTTGGAGGAAATGTAACAAACCCGGCCTCAGACTGCTTCCCGTGCTGTTCGAAGCCTCCCGTGCGGCAGACTTTGTGGCGGCCACGTGGAGTCCAGGCCTTTCGTACACCCTGAGGCCCTTAAAGGGTCCCTCCATCCACAAGATGTTCTCGTGAGGTTAGGAGTGTGTTTTAGCTGGAGAGCACAGTCCTCGCTGTGCTCAACCTTACTTTGTGTGGGGCGCAGCTCTGGGATGTGCAGGAAGCCTTCAGACTGACGGCTCACACAGAGCATGGCACTCCACCCTCTTCTGCGAACATCCGAGTAGACTCAGTGGGTGTTAGAGTCAGCGGGCGTTAGACCCAGCGGGTGTTAATGGTGCTGCCGTCAACCGCCTAGCACCACCTGTCACTCGCTTTAGGGAAGACTTAAAACATAATCTTTAAATGCAAGAGGTCAAAAGGGAAACAGTGTGGTTGAGAGATTGCAAAATCCCTAGATAACGAAGCTCCCATTTTGCCATTTTGTATAGGGGTGTGTCTCACTAACTCAAATGCGCATGGGTACTTGTGTGTATGTGTGTGTGCATGTGTGCATGCGTCCGTGTGGGGGAGGTGGGGGTGTTCTTGGACAAGCCGCTAAACCACTCTTAACCTCAGGTTATCTACTGTAAAATACGGGTGACAACAGTCACAGCTCCTTTGGGGACTGCCGCAGGCATTCGGCGTGTGTAGGCTTTGGCACAGCTCGACACCCACGAAGCTGATGAGACGGCCGAGGCACCGGGCCCTGTGGGAAGCCTGGGGCACCTGGCTGATCGCCATGGAAGCCTGGCAAAGGGGGCTGTTACTGTTACTGCATCAGAGATGCCCTAGGATCTGGGGTCACACGGCCCCCCAGTAGCCACGGGGACCAAACCTCAGTGTCACTGACCTCCTCCCACACTCAAAGTGGAAGCCGCTCCACGTGCCTTGCTCGAGGGGCAGCTGCTTCGCTCTGAGCAGCCTGAGCAGCCTCGGGTTTCCTGCTCTGTGCAATGCCTGCTTCGCTTGTTGCTCTCCGGCGCTTGCTGTTCACTTCACCCTTTGGCCTGGAACTGGAGAGGCACACGGTCTCCTCTTTCCAGTTGGCCATGAAGTTGTTTTCGTAAGCCCTGGCATTTAGTTCCAGTGAGGGGAGGGAGGGGCTTCTTGCTAGGCCAGATCAGCTGGTCCCCAGGGTTCTCTACAGAGGGATTGCTGGGTCTGAAATGTGAGCTGAACTCTTGTTTGTCCTTTGACCCTAATCCTTAGTCTCAGCATGGTTTGGGCAAGGGGAAGGCATTCAAACGGGACAAGCAAGACTTGTGTGCCCTCCATTGCACTGAGGTAGGCAGGCCGGAAGGAGAAAGCCAGCCAGCCCAGGAGCTGCCTCGCTCAGCTCAGTTCCCAACTGGAGGAAAAGGACGTGGACCAGTGACCAGAACCATCTCATTCTCACTTATTAACTGAAATAGACAGTGAGCAAGGCTTAGGATGCCACAGGACTCTACGCACTTGCTACAGAAGAAGGCCTGTGGTGTTATCCTCCCTCCGAAGGCCACATGGAGAAAACAGAGCCTGCAGTCTGTTAGGCAAAGCCGGGAGAGTGCGCAGATGTGTAAGCTCGGCCTTGTCAGCCAACTTCTTTTCACAGACTGGTCTTGTCTCGTTTGTATGATTTCTTTGGCTGTAAGTAATGTAGATCTGCAGTCTCATACGAGAAGGTTGTGACCAGCACAGACTTTGGGTCCACGAGTGCTTCAGAGTGCCACGCCTACACACACCACACAGAACACAGAAGCCCAGCCCTGGGCCCTGGGCCATTGCTCCAGGTAGATCTTGGATGCTAATTTTGCTGTGATTTCCTGTCCTAGGCTTTGGAGCTGGATTTATGGACACCATCATAAGTTCCATCATGGGATAAAGATGACAGTAGGCCCTTGTTGAGGCTTCCTGTTTATTAGAATGGTGATGACAGCAGCAGCAGCATTGACAGAGCAGGGGTGGTAACAGGACTTGGGATTCATTTATATTACCCTATCATTTCCACATGAGTGATTCTGCTCCCCAAACAAAGGGAAAAGTAGAACTGTGCTTGTAGGCAGAATGCTAATTCTTCCCGTGGCCCAGTAAACAGCAGAACTGAAAAGGGGGCTCCCTCCTCTGGGGCCTTTAAGCTCTTACCTTGCTGGGTTCTGTTCTTTTGAATAAGGAGAACTGTCATCAGAAATGTGTGCCTGGAAGGTTTGGAAACCCGGGGCTGTCTTGGCTCAGGGAAACCCAGCACCTCTCTGGGGCATCCGAGGTAAAGGATAATTTATTTAAAAGCAAGTTCAGTGATTTCAATAAATTGCCAAATAAACAAGGATGGCCAGAAGCCCACCTTC